AAGGAACTTAAGTCATTGATTTTCTTCAGTGCTTTTAACTCTGAGGTTCCGTGTTTCAAGATCATTTCTGAACATGATTTCCTACCCACCCCCAACCCAGTCAGCTGCTGAGGTTGTTAAAGTGCATCAGCAAAGTCATTCCGACTGTAAGTTCTTGGGCTCTAAAATCTGTGATGCACTGAGTCAGGCTGAAGCCATCCTGACCTCATGGTATCCTGTGATGTGTTCTTTGTAGATTTATGTTGGAGAAGGTGTGAAGTACGAATTCAAGTGTTGACAGGTTTGGGTTTGAAACCCAGCTTAGGGGATTCCTCGTCATGTAGCCTTGGAACAGTCTGCTCACCTCTTTGAGCCTCGGTGCTCAAGAAACCAGTCCTTAAAATGTTCTTCTAAAGCTTAAAGGCAGAAAAATTATTCTACTCAACCAAAGGATCCAGTTATTTTGCCTGCAGCCAATTTAAAGGAATTACTCCTGAAAGTTATGTTATAAGGAGAGGGATTTGTCCTTCCAAAATGAATGAAAAGCCGAAGCTTTGGCAGAACTGACTTCAGATGAAATGTACAGGACCGCACATCCCTTTGGCTGGCACAGTGGCTCCCTGAACCGTGGAGTGTTACAGCTGTAGGATTGATGTCCGGTGCACGCTCGTTAACCGTCTGTTCCCCTTTTCTAGCCTGTCACCTCTTCTGCGGACGCAGGGTTTCTGCTACAGACTTTAATGGGAGAAGAAGACTGGAAACCCATGCACATGTGACTACATGCCAATGTAGAAAACAAATGGGGGAACCTTTCGTGGCACGTTCCTGGGAAGCCTCATTCAGTCACACTTTGCTAACTGTTGCCTGATTGTTCAGTGAACATTTTAGTGAAGCTCCGGGAGCAAACTCTCCCATATCGTCTTTTCAGGTTTGACAAGGAAGTAGGCTAGCTTAAGTCCGCTTGATGAGCAAGGTCTTTGCAAGAGGTGGACTCAAGTTTGTTTCTCATTCAGTTTTTTGTATGTTTCAGTAGGAAAACAACTCTTTTGATTTGGTTTAATTTCAAAGAACTTCAAATACCTGTTGGCTGATTGCATCCCTTGACCTACTAGGTACCTGGCAATGGTTAGCGAGAGGGTACATGGTGCTTATGGTTTAACACATCTGTAACGGGGATGGTGGATGAGTTTTCAGCTCAAGTGCCAACTTTGATAGATTGGTAAAAGCCACCCGGAGCCCTGTGCTGGAAACGGGTTTGAAGCCATTTCCAAGTTCACATTGATTAGCAGCATCTTTCCTGGTTTCCAGAGGGAGAAATGGCTGCATGTTTATTGCATATATGATGTCCCCAAGCCATACTTAATTCAGTGTTTTGTTTATTTACTTACAAGTTACCATTCTTACTAGGTTTCTTAGTTTATTAAAGCTATTTTTCAGAATTACCCTTGAAAACAAGACTAAAGTGTAAATTTTTACTTGTCAGGCTAACCTAATAACACTTTAATAGCTTTGATGCCTTTTTATAGTCCACCAAATGGACAGTGGCTTTCACCCAGCTTAATGACTCATTTGATTAATCATAGAATTTTAAACATTAGTAGAATCTGCTAATTGGCTCATCACTTGGGTACTAAGCAATAGACAAATAAGGAAATAAAAAAATTAAAGCAGTGCAGTGATATTTTTACATCAGAGCGCTTGCTGTGGGGCATCACTTCATTCTTGAAGTGTTAATTGAGAGCTTATTTTAAGCATTGGACCAGGCTATGTACTGTATACACTTTTGGGGGGCATCGTTTAAAAACTATTCAAAGTGAGTAACATTTGTTATTCTTATGTGTTGTTTCTCCTTCTCTGAAGACTAGTATTTAATTGAACTTACTCTTTTTTTTAGTAAACAAACTCATTTTACTTTCTACAGTTAAATTATTTCAGCTACTTAATGGGTTGATGGTATTACAGCTTGGCAATGCCTAGTCTCCATAAAAAAATTACTGGGAAAGTGGGCAATTTAAATTAATCTATGGTCATTGTAAGTTGGCCTCCTTGTACCAAATTAGGTCATTTTTTAAGATTTTAAACCAAGTACCAGATCCTAGCATTGGTCCTCTGAGAGGCTATGGTGAAACATTCCAGTGTGGATTTAAACTGCTTTATGTGTTGTCATCCATCCCTGTTATTATCCGGATGCCCAGATGAGGGAAGTTATGTTTTACATTAGAAAAGCATTCTGGTTGTTGAAAATGACAAGGAGAGTGGGGGGTTAAGGCAGAGGTTGTCTGTAAGGGTCCAGGCACGGCTTCTTGGATTGCTGGTGGACACATCCAAATTCTGGCTCTCAACCAAATGAAAAAGGCTTTATGATTATTCGCTGGGGACACCTGATACATATAGTTTAAAGAGGTTCTCATTTTACTGTGTTTCATGGCTTTGGAGTTTTGTTCAGCTTTGTGAAAATTTCTCAATAGTGGGGGAAATTACTGTTCAAGTAAGGTACCTTCTTGGCCTCTGAGTTTGAAAAACCAGAGGAAGGGGAGAGGGGTGGGGTGGATAGCAAGGCCTCTGTGTCATCCAAATACATACAAATACATATGGGATCAACTTTGAAAATATTTTCAAAGTCGAAATGAACTGATTTTTCTTTGTTACTGTTGAGTGGTTAGTTTCTGCAAAATGTGACTCACAAGTAGGACGTGTCTCCTGTTGGCTGATGCAGGGAGGCTCAGGTCCAGGCGAGGATCCCATGTGTTAGCCTGTCGTGTCGATGAGAACCGAGTTGGTTTCAGCTGCTAGAGTAAACAGAGTCCTGGATGCATGTGAATTCAACTAGAGGTTTTCCTGTTTCCCTCCCAGTGTCTATTACAAAGAAGCCTTGTTAAATGACATCCAGAGAGCCAGAGAGAAATACCAGGGTGATGAACTGGTGAAGGAGCTGGCTCGGATCAAACTCTGCCTGGATAATACTGAGGTTCTGACCTCAGACATTGTCATTAATTTACTGCTGTCCTACCGCGATATCCAGGTATGAAATATGTTTAGCTGAGGCTAACGCATGCTGAGTTCTTCCTTGACGTGGGGAATTCCTTCTGTGAAGTGCTCTTACACTTGGTGTGTGGTTAGGTAGCTATTCTGTAGATACAATAGGAATGTGGGTAGGTCATAGGTCACCTAGCATACCTGTTGTGGTGGAAATATTGGAGAAGGTTTTGTCATATCAGAAGGTTGCTCCAACAAAATCTCATTGACAGTACTCCTCGATAAAAGGATCTCAGAATTGAGCAGTTTATGTGCACTTTGTGCTAGGCATTGTTCCAAGTCCTTTGCAAATTGTAATTCACTTAATCCCCTTCACAAGCCTATGGGGTGTATACTCTGATTATCCCCAGTTTACAAATGCGGAGCATGAGACACAGAGAAGTTAAGTCACTTGCCTAAGGCCACTCAGCAGTTGGCAAAGTCAAAATTCAAACTGAAGCAGCCAGCTCTGTTGCCCTTGCTCTTAACTCCTCTGCTCTGCGGCTTCCTCTAGGCCTTTGTCACTTCCTTCTTTGTTTACCACCACTTATTAGTGAAAGGGAGAGCAGAGGCATGTCCAGGGCCCAGGAAATGCAGGTGTTTATTCTAAGACAAGTGACAGAGACTTCTGGAGAGTTCTTGAGGCAGGATTTGTGGAATATGGTACCAGGGAGGAAATGAGTCATTTCTTCCCTCCAAGTTTAGTGCCGTGGAGCCATTTCTAAGGATGTCTTGCCTTCCTTTCCTTTGGAGGAACGCAGGGCAATGCATGTAACCTGCAGAGTTCTACAAAGCCATACTGGAGGTTGTTGGCCACGAGTCTTTAAATGAGTGAGGCTTCCATTTACGACCTGAACCAAGAACAGAATTACCCACTTAAGGAACTCATGCCCCTAGTGATAAACAGATGCATCTAATTGATTTTAATAGCAGGTGCTATTAGGAATTATGACAATGATTAAATTGTGCCCCATGCAACAAGAGAATGGGAATGAACTTTTTTGAAATCTTTCTTCCATTGGGCTGCAGGCTTCCTTCTGTCCTTGGTTTCACGCATCTCTCCTATTTATAACCTTCCGTTGGTGGAACTGTCAGGCTCAAGGGTGATCTGGAAGCTTCTTGAAATACTCTGCTTTCCCTTTCCTTGGGCAGCAGCATCAAGGTATAAAGCCATTAAAGAGGCATGAGAGTTCAGTGGGAAGTCCTCGTCTGCTAACTGTGGCCGGCTGTCAGCGAGTTGGCCAGGAACAGTGATTCTAAGCCTGGCTGAAAGAGTAGCAGATGGCACTGCTCAGAGGGGACACAGCTCAGACAGACACGGTAGTCATTTTTCCCTGGGTAATTACGTAGTTTAGAGCTGTTGTTGTCAAGCAGGGGACATGTGGCAGTGTCTGGAGACATTTTTGGTTGTCACAACTCAGGAGGGAGGGGGAGATGCTGCTGGCATCTAGTGGGTCAAGGCCACGGACGCTGCTGACCATCCTGTGATGCACGGCACAGCCCTCACCATAAAGAAGGGTCCAGCCCCCGATAACAGCAGTGCCAAGGTTGAGAGACTCAGGTTTAGATGAATTTGATTGTTTCTGAAAAATAGGAAGGACTGAGATGTTTCCTCCTTTTATGTGGCAAATGCCTGAAAGATATATTTATGTCTAGTTCATTTTAGCCCACAGCACTGCTGGTGGTGTTGACTCTCTTGCACTCAAAATGTCATAGCTTTTTCCTAGCTACTGGATCATTTGCCTTCTTTTGTTGGCTTTGAATCTCACCTCCTTCCCTTGGTCCTTTTGTGGCCTCTGATAGTGTGGATTCTTTCTCTGTCTTCTCTTTCATGCATCTTGTTTTTTGTTTTTTTTTTTAAATCTCATTGCTGTTCTCTCAAGAGCCTTAACTTCACTAAGTGCTGTCTGTAGGGAAAGGCTTGTATTTAAATGCTGGTCTCATGTTTGTAACTGTTCAAGAAAACCTGAAGAGCGGTGTTTCCTCTTTCTCATCTCGGGACCTCTTGCTATAGTGAAGCTGGTAGAAACACTGGAAACCCTGCCGACATGTGATTTGGCCGACCAGCACAATATTAAATTCCACTATGCATTTGCACTGAATAGGTAAGAATGATAATGTATGTATAGAGTTTTGAAACCTGCCACCTGTTAAATTCTGTTTCCCTCTTTCATTCAACCCTCACTGAATATGAGCCAGATCATGAGCTGGAATGCCAAGGTTATGAAAATGGGTAAGGCATGGTCTTAGTCTTCAGGGAGTTTGTCTTTGGAACATATATTCTAGCTGTGAGGCCAGACATGTAACTAAATCCCTACAGCTCATAGTGATAGACATCCTCATGAACATCGAGGCACAGTGGAGGGAGGAGGTCATTCTCCTTAGGGGATTTAAAGAAGCTTCTCTGGGGTCTTTTGGGCTGGGTTTTGAAGACATAGTAAGAGTTGCTCCATGAGTGGGAGAGAGTGCAGGATGGGGGTGGTGAAAAGGCCATTCTGCTCAGCCAGAAGTGTGAGTGTAGAGTTCTTCGTGTGCAGTGTGCCTTCAGGAAACATCCGGGGTGCAAGATGTAGGTGAAGCAAATGCATGGAGTGAGGCAGAGTGTGGAGGGTGGGACTGTGTCTTGGAAGGACCTTGTATACACGTATAAGGAGCTGAGAATAACCTGGAGACTGGTGGGGTGGGGAGGGTGGGGCTACTTTAAACAACAGAACTCACATTGTGTGATGGGGAAAGAGGGTGCTGCCTTTTTGTAATAGTATAATCTGAACTTTGAAATACAAATTATGGGGCTAGGTAGAGTATGTGAGACTTGGAAATTCCTACCTGGAGACCATGAGCCTCAAAAGCTATTGCCAGGGGCATCAGCTAAGATGCTGTAGCAAAGAGACCCCAAATGCAATGATTTAAATAAGATTGAAATTTCTCTTTCACATAGTCTAGAGGTGAGTAGACCAGTTAGTGGTGCATAGCACTGTTCCAGGACTTGTTCAAGGACCTAACTTCTGTCCATTTTGTAGCTCTTTCATTCCCAAGACTGTTGTCCTCTTCTAGTTGAAGCTAGGTCACTGCTACTCTGTGTTCCAGCCTAATGAAAGGAGTAGAGTAGAAGCCCAGGGCAAGCTACTGCCTTTAAAGCAAGTAGAATTTGCACAGGCCACTTCTACTTACATTCCAATGATGAGAGCATAGTCACATGACCCCATCTAGCTGTAAGGGAAGCTGGGAAATGTAGTCTCGAGATAAGTGGCCACTCACCCATCCAAATTCAACTACTGTGGATTTGGAGGATAACTAGGGGTTTGCCATATCGAATCTCACAAAATCCCAGCTGCGTTAATGTCTTAGTCCTACAGTCACCCTTCCTCCTCTGATAATGCTACCCCTCTTCCTATATATTATGTGAACATGGTGAGAACCAGGCCCAGATAGCCTTCCCGCTGGGCCTGACCTCTGCTGGGGCCAGGAACTGGTCATGCTTGAATCATACAGCAAAAAACTGTGGGAGGGTTTCAAATGTGGCTTGAGAAGCAAAGCTCTGGCACCTCCCTAGCAACCTTCCTCCACGGCCAGTGTCTTCCACAGGGGATGAATAAAGTAAGGGTTGGCAGTGAGATGAGTCATAGGACTCTTGTGTCTGATTTCTCAGAGGCTTTGTTTTGCTTCAGCAGCTGGATTAGGCTGCAGACTGTAGACCTGCCACTGGCAGCCTCTGTGGGACAGCAACAACACAGAACCCCACGGCTCCAGGATTCTTGTAATGCCTGTGAGGCCACATCTCTGTTTCATACTGAAGTTTGTAAAATGCACAGACAGTGAAGTGCATAGGTCTTCATACAAATTGAAGAGTTTTAGAAATAGACAGACACATGTAAACAAAATGTAAAATACTTCCACCCCCACCTCCGAAAGTTCTCTTATGCCCCTTTGCAGATAGTCCCCACCCCTCCATAGGCAGCCACTATTGCAACCTCTGTCTCCATAAATGAGTTTTTCCTGTCCTTAAACTTTTTGTAGGTGAAATCACACGGTATGTACTCTTTTGTGTCTGGCTTCTTTCACTCAGCATCGTGTTTGTGAGGTTCGTCCATGCTGTTGGATGTGGTTGGTTCGTTCTCCTTGCTGTGGAGTTTTTCGTTATATAGATATTCCACAACTAATGATCCGTTTTCCTACCAATAGACCTTTTGGTCGTTTCTAGCTTGGGGATACTAAGAACAGTGCTGCTGTGAACATTCTTGCCCATGATATTTGCACACATAGGGACGTATTTCTGTTGGGTACATAGCGCATGCGTGTGTCCTGCTGTACTAGACACTGACAAACTGGTGGTCAGGATTTTGATTCCTTTTTGAGGGGAGGCTTCATGGTCTCTGTGAAAATGTGCCTCATCTCTCCACAGTCGTCCTTAAACTCAGCATCCCAGGGCAAGGAGTGTTGGGAAGGGCATCTTCCTTAAGCCTGAAAAAAAAGTCCTGTAACTCTGTTCCTCCAGAGGAGTGGGTTCAGCTTTTATTTGTACTTAATTATACTTGATTGATCCTTGACTCAAGGATAAAATGAGTTATCACTGGTGAAGTTTCTAGAAGAATGCCTGGCACACTAATGCTATTTTAAAAAATAGTTTGTTAGATTAAAAAAAGAAAGCCATTTAAATGACTCACCACCAAGTCTTTTCCCAGACCAAGGAGAGGTAACTGTTGTCAAACAGAATGAGATAATCTGATTACCATCCACTCAAAGTAATAAAAGAATGAAATGTGTTTTGAAATGAAGAGTCAGTATCTAAGAGAAGTGGGTGTGGCAGGATGAAGTGATCCCCGGATGATATGTGTTTCCCATTTGGAAGCAGAATGGCTGGGATTGTTCCCCAGAGAGCCCCCTTTCTCTCTGATGATGGGTCTTTTCCTTCTAGTCCGATGGTCCTCTGTTAGACAGTGGTTCTCTTCACTGCCAGGAAGATAATCACCACAAATACATTTTGAGGCCAGGCTGGCTCCTCAATGCCAAGAACCTTATTTTCTCGAACCACGAGGGATTTCCTGTAGCGTGGCAATGTTTGCTTCATTTATACATGCAGTCAGATCCTGGATTTCATGTCTTCGCTCTAGGGATAACTTGGCCAGCTGTCAGTGTAGCCGCAGTAGGATTTGGCATTATGTGCATTTCTGAGAAAGCCGACGGAGATCACCATGTGCCTATAAAGAGCAATATAGTGATGGACAGATAATGAATTTTCCTGCATTAGAATTGACGTTTAACTCCTAGGAAGTGGAGCAAATCATGGCCGTAAATGTTACTGAAGATTGGCAATAACAAATGATCAGACCCTCAGCTGACAAGGACTCCCTGTATTAGGGAAGCTGCCTTGAGCTGAGTCTTTTCCTGATAGCTTTCCCTTCTCTGAATTCAGAAGCCCGTTCAAAGCTACTTCAGGTTTCCTTTAGTGGTGAAATTTCTTGCCTTCCAATGGCATGGAATGAACATTTTTTATTTGATGTTGCTTTTACAGACAGGGCTTTACTAGGTATGCTCATGCAGCCGGAAGATGCTGACCAGTTCACGCAGCAGGCGGAGGCATGGTCTGGAAGAGTAGAATAACAGGATCAAAGTCCTAGATTTAAAAACAGCAAAACTCACCTGTCGCAAAGTAGGAGTGTGCTCATATTCTACTGCCTGCATCTTCAGGTCCAGACCGCCAACCCTGGCAAAACTGAGCTCACTAAATTACTCAGCAAGTGCAGGGGAAACTGAATGCGTGATGTGTTTATTGAAACAGCTGATGTGTCGCTCTATAAATAAGTTAAGGGGAGTGATGGGGAGAGGAAGATACTCCGCGGGCCCTAGAAATGTGTGTATCGGGGGTGGAGTGGAAATTAGATGAATGTTACTGAATCCAGCCCATGTCAGAGGGGCTGCAGGCTTGTTCCTGAATCTACAGCAGTCACCTCATCCGCGGCCTCTGGGCTCCCCAGCCAGGTCATTGCTCAGGTGGAGGGACGGTGTGTGCTTGTTGTCTCTACAGTAACCACCAGCCTCCTTTTCTTTTTCTTTTGTTTCTGTTCACTGTGCGATCTCACTGTATTCATTTGTATGTTCATGTGAAGAGCCATTTTTTATTACATGTTTGCAAAGAGTAGGAAAATGATATCACCCTACTTTTATAGTGCGTTTGTCTCCAGGTTCCTAAAACCATGCTGCAAAAGAAGAATGCATATTTGTGGTGATTGTTTTCCTGGCAGTGAAGAGAAGCACAAAATCTGTGACCTTATAAGGAGCCATCTAGTCTAAATCATTTAGAGAGGAGGAAGAAAGAAGGAAAGGGAAGGGCCTAAAATGAAACAGCTGGTCAATAAGTGATCTGGGACCAGAACTCCCTAATTTTAGCACAATGCTCTGCATACACTAGTGTAATAATATCATGGCCTCATCAAAGAAACTTCCCAGAAAGCTTTAGCTTATATTTTCTTTGCCTGACGGACAACCACAATAAGCCATGGGCCTCTTGGAATTGTAGGGCCATGCTTTTATACGTCTTGCTTTTTCATATATGACAAGAGCGTTAGACAGTAGCCACTTTTATAATATATACTTTTTCTACCAAAAGACCAGTTGCATTTTTTTCCCTGAGAAATGGACCAACCCATGAGCTTCTGAGCAGTGGCCTTGCCAATAATACAGATTTACCTTTTGAAAAATAAATATCTGGAGAACTTACCGCTCCCAGTGTCCTGATTCCTCCGGCTGGCCTCCTGGAGTCTGTGTTATATTCCTGTTCCGTCAGTTTCCTGCTTCGGTTCCCTCTCTTTTGCCCTTCCTTCATTTACTGACTTACTTGTGTGCCAGTGGAAGGGCTTTGTGCTCAAGAAGGAGAGAGCTGGTTAGCGGTGACTAAAGTTAACCGGTGATCTCAAAATGCAGCCACAAGTGCGCATTACATACTTGAACCCAGACAAGTAACTTGTTCTCTTCGAACCAATTGTGCTGCGGTACTCTGCTTTATTTCGACGATGTTGCCGTTATTCAGAGTATCATCGTATCACTGGGAGGGGGCCGATTTTTTTTCTTCAGAGCTGGCTCGTACAGCAGTGAACAGGGTGCATAG